ATAGCGATGATATAGAGTTGATTTAGAGTCGAAGATTGTGTCCAATTGGGCAATTTTGGGCCATTTTAATTATCGCGCGCAAATATTCGGTTATTTAGTTATTTCAATAATTATTCATTTTATTTTATACTTTAATGCGCTCTACTTTTTTTATTTATCCTCTCTTTCTCCTTATATGTCCCACCTATTTAACCTTTGCTACCATTTGTTCCGTTTTACAGAAGGCTGGGGTTTTTGCGTGTTGTTTGATGACCTAACTTGAACTGTAACTGGCGAGCAAATTGAAGATATCGAAAACACTCATTATCGCCTTCGTAAAAACAAAAGTGGTCTGTCGATGACCCAATGCAAATTTATGCATAGCAAAGAAAGGGTTTGTGCAGAAAATATGGTTTGTTGCCTACATTGTGAACTTGCAGTGGTTCATTGGACCAGTTTTTGGTTCTTGCTGACGTTTCAGCGTGCCTGATTGGCTGTCCACTGTTGAAGCGCCAACTGTCACTATCGATCGGTAATTTGAATGTCTGGCCGAACTTGTCGGGCGTAAGTTGGTCGATTTCATTACTCATTCGCTGCCTTTTACAATGAAGGGCGCTGGCCAGACACTCTGAAACGTCAGCAAGAATAAAAAACTCTTCTGGTGAATAATTGTCAATCAGTGCCTTTTCTCACATTCCTCCTAAGCTACGCCCACGCTAGTGGTTTCTCTTTGTCCGTCGGATGTGCAGTGTGCCTCTTGAGATCGATGCAACGTCTTCTTGCACCCTCTACTTAATTCGGCTGGAGTGGCCTAAAACTGCAACGGTTGTACTAAGGAGAGGAGTTGATGTTGAGCATATGATTGATACTGTAGCCCTATTAACTATTGCTCCTACAATACCTACTGCTTTGCTTGATAAACCCGAACAATATTCCGCTGCTGTTCGGTGTCAACTTGTCTTACGTTCCTTGTGACTCGGTCCTACAAAGTTGATTAAAATGCATAGGAGAAAGTAAAGCATCTTTTGATGGATCACTTGAATGGTATATGGCAGCGAACATTAAAAAATTAACCAGTCCAAACCCCACCAGCCAGGCGTTTAAATCGCTGATGGATAAACAAAATTGAGAAGTGGTCAAGTACTCCGAAACGTCAGCAAGAACTAAAAACTATTCCAGTGTGCCTCCTGGTATCGATGCAACCACTTCTCGCACTCGCCACTTAATTCGTCTGGAGTGGCCTAACACTGCAACGGTTGTACTAAGGAGAGGAGTTTGTGTTGAGCATACGACTGATACTGTAGCCCTATGAACTTTTGGTCCTACAATACCTACTGCTTCGCGCGATAAAACCGAAAAAAATTATGCTGTTGTGAGGCATCGCCTTCTTCTCACATCGTAAATGTCTAAGGAACATGGACAGAAGGAGACGCAGCATCTTTCGATGGGTCACGTGAATGGGATGGGACAGCGAGCGATAGGAAAAATCGATCAGCCCAGAGCCATCAAGTTCGGCCAGACATTCAGATTACTGGTGGATAGTGACAATATACGCTTTGACAGTGAACAGTCATCCATGTTAGGAGCCTGCCTAATCGACTCGCTCACGTGCAGCCCTGATGACTCGGCCTGGGCCGCACTATTGATCGTCCCATAGGCCGTACGCGGGACGATACCGCACGAGATGCCGACAGGCTTAGTGCTTAGCCCAACCACTCGGATGAGTCAGAAAGCCAATCGGCATGCTACTCATTCAAGGACACTATCGTATTGGTCCGATTGCAGTCCGACTTTGTACATGCACGTATGCTCCTATTTGGCCTTAAATACGATGTACTAAGAATTTTAATAAACTTATATCCTTGCGCCCCTGCTTCTGTGCTCTACTTTGGGAATTCGAACGAGGCGTTGTTGGGCGGTGAACATCTAGGCTTGTGGCAAGTTTTGAACACCTCGAAACGTCAGCAAGAGTCAAAACCTGTTCCGATCACTGACTGTCTGTCGTTACGCTGCATCCAACCACGAGTTTCTTATTGTGCAGAATCCTCAGCAACCACGATGTGGATGTCGACGGCTGGTACAAGATGATTGAAACCTGGTACCGGGAGCACAGAGGTCAGTCTCCCCAGGAGGCCATGCTTTCCTACCTTCAGCTGGCCCAGGATCTGGAGACTTTCGGCGTGGACTACTTTGAAATTCGCAACAGACGCGGAACAGACCTACTGCTGGGCATCGATGCCATCGGACTTGCCGTGTATAAGCCGCCTGACAAGTAAGTCCAACCCCCCCTGTGTTTCTTCGTCAATTTCCCTATTTTGTCCCCTAAATGGACCGTGTGTTAGATACGCTGGA